GGATAGTAAGAATCCAGCAGAGATATTCACCTCTTGCATCCCTTTCTGCTGACATGGAACATCCAGTTGGTTTCAGGGATATATTCTCCCATGGACCAGCACACTCATGCATCTTGCAGGATCTAAATGCTCCAAGGGATTTCTAAAGCTTTCCAAGAATAGCCTTCAGTTGCTGCTAGCTTCCACCAAAGCCCTGCACAGACCAAATCTGAACAGTCCCTAAATTATTTAGAGCTCAATTATTACACCTGGGTCATTTGCAGTGACTCATTTGTAGTGTGTCCAGTTTGAGGCATGTGGGAGAGATTAATTACTCTCCTTGCATGGGTCCTGTCTAGACTGGGAAACTGAGGTGTGTCCAGCAGACCAGCGACATTTGGCCAGACTGGGTTTCACACAGGGCACATAGCAGAGGAACTCTGAGCCCTTCCAGGCAGTGGGAGGGCGCTTGGCTTGACAGGAATTGCCAGTGTCACATTTCAAATGGAGGTGTATGATATAAAACCACCCAAATTCTCACTCAGTGCATGTGGCTTCAGTGTCTGTGGGAACAACACAGGCAGGGTCACCCCAGCACACACACGAGTCCCAAGTCAGTGGGAGCAGCCCTGGGAAAAATCAGTATCCAGCAGGACTGGCCTCTGCCAAGCACACATCTGGGGGTGACAAACACCAGCAACCTCAAGGAATCATTACCTGGCACTGAGCAGCTTTACAGGACAAACAAAAAGTCAGGCCGAACCTGATGGGATTGCTCCTTGCATCCCACTGTTGGGATAGCATGAGCCATTCGAGATGGAGCAACACAAGGAGGGCAGAAAGCTGCATCCTCCTCTTTGCCATCTTACCTGACACAAGCTCTGTCCTGCCAGCCCACAGCCTGCTCCCCCTGACCTCCCTTTCAGCTTTGAGGCCATTTATCCCTATCCTGTGGGGATAAGGGCTGGAATTTTGTAATGAGTGTCCTGCGAACATGCATGGACCTTCCTGGGCCCATGGCTTGTGTCCTGCATTGACATCACCCCATCCAGCAGAAAGGATTTGGTACCCTCAATACAAGTAAGTTGGAAAACACAAGATTCCAGCTGCTGTGACTCCGGGCATCCGTCAGAGCCAGCAGTGTCATCACTCAGGCACAGGCAGTGCACTCCTGGAGTCACTCCACAGCACACACAGCTGTGGGAGGACAAACCTCATCCTCCACACTCCCCAAGCTCCATCCCTCAGCTGATGCCTCCACGTGCTGTAAAGCCCATTTGAACTCTCTCCCAGGGGAGAGTGTGGACACCGACATGTAAGGACAGGTTTGGCAACTGCTGTTTACAGGAGAGGCCTCAGGTTTTGGCTGGTAGAGACAGGCAGAGGCCTCCTCTCAAATTTCACGTAAGGATCTGACCAGAGGGCAGGACAGTGCTAGGGCAGGACACGGACAGCCCCAAGCCATGGGAGAGACAGCTTTTCCCTCCCTGGCTCCCCTCTCACCTCCCAAATACTCCACAGCACTTGACACCAGGCAGGGCTTCTCCTCCACAAGCCCATTTCCCTTCATGGGTGCTACAACCACCTCCCACAATCAAAATAAGGGTGACACTGCACCCAGACAGGGATGGTCATTTGGGGGCAGCAGTCCAACACCCTCAGAGCTGTGGCTCTGCCCCAGAGAGCACCCACAGCCCCAAGGGAGGGTGAGGCTTCTCCTCAGGCTCTCTCCAGCAGCAAAGCCAGTTTAAGAGGTTCCTACCCCACCCTGTCTCCCCATCTCACACTTCCACTTCTCCAGCCTCGGCAGGTTTGCTGGTGGGGCAGGTAGTTCACTACCCCAGCACAGACAACAATTTGGATTAGGTGCTTCCCCACTGCCAACTTCTATCCAGGGCCACAATCCCTAATTCCCTGAGGCATCGTTCAGCTCAGGGGCATCAGCTCCTGAGGCACTGACTGAGGGAGGGAGAAAACCTCTTAAACCAGCTCTGCCACCCCAGCAATCCTAACTGGGAACCACACCCTGACATACAGACTGCTGACTTGACGGCAGCGGGGAGACCACGATGGGCAGGATCTGTCCTCTGGATAACAGCACTCTCCTGCTGTGCTCCCAAGCCGTTCCAAAGTGATCCAGCGCTGCTGCCCTTCATTCCTCACCCTGATCATTGTCACTGAAAGCCCACGGCATCACTGGTGATGTGCTAATCCCAGCCTGCAATTCACAGGGTCTTGCTACTCTTAGCTCACAGCAAAGGCCTGGCAAAGGGAGCCCTGGAGCAGGGAGATTTCCTCACACTCCAGCACCCAGGAATATGCAATGACTCCCCTGCAGAAGGACAGGCAGACGCTGTGAGGAAACACAGCACCAGGCCGACTGAACTTCTTTATTCTTGCCTTTGGGAAGTCCAGGCTCCTCGTGGGGAGCCTGGTGTGACATGGGCTGGGTGCAACCACCCAGTGACAGCCAGTGAAGACTTCCAAGTCTCCAAGAGGGACCGTGGCATTGTTAGTGCCAGGGCTGGACTGTCACTCAGGCACAGGACACAATGGAGCATTTCAGCTCCTCCATTAAGGGCCTGCAAAACACACAACTCCAGCTTGAAAAGCTGGCACCTCAGAAGAATTGCCTCGTTAGGCAGCTGAGGAGAACATTTATACAGAATGAGGAGAAAACTACTACTGCAAGTCCCATCCTCCACTACTCAGCCCGGAATCTCTGGGCGAGGAACATGGATATCCCATATCCATGTGTCCTCTCCACCCTCATACAGCATCACCCACCGCCTGTATGAGCCTCACCAGGACACGGCTTCTCCCACAGTTTTTTTTGAATGGGTGCAAGGCATCCTCCTAGTGATATCCCTGCATCCTGAGAAACTCACCCAGGCCTTTATAATCCTGGGAGTCATGGATACAGAGCCTGAACTTGGGAGCAAGCACAAGTTAGAACAGTTCAACCCACCTAATCTGTCATTGCGCCACAGGGGGATGTGTGAACTGGCAGAGAATTCTTGTAGGAGTGAGACTACACCCGGAGCAGAGGTGAATTTCTCCTCCAAACCCAGATCTTTCCCTAACATTGACAAATTCATTCAGAAAACAGGCACGCGTCAGATTTTTGTTGAACCAGAGGAAGGCAACAGGACTGCAAACTAAATAAAATAACATAAAACATTCAAGATTTCCTCTATTTCCTGATGGAAATCAGTCAGGAAAAAGATGCTGTTGCTGTGATTACCTGACACACCAGAAAACAAACTTTTTTTGCCATCTCAGGCCATCAAAACATGCAATTAATTCAGCTCCTTCACCACTATAAACTATTCTAGTCCAGGCTGTCTGGCTACTTAGATTATTTTTCTTAAATATATATTTTTTTTTGCTGTCACACACACACTGAACCCCAGTCATACACAGCTGATAGCAGCAGAAACACTGTACTAACCAACTACCTGCTTCCCTACCTGGAACTTTTAATTTAGGCCTACTAAAACCAGCTCCCAAGTCCAAGGCATACACAGGATATTCAAATAAGTCATATTCAGCACTTTTGCCTTCCTTGATAATTCAAATCATGCTTTACAGAAGAAAAATAATCATCTTTTAAAGGCACTTCAACAAGGGAGCGTCACCAACACAGCGAGAGCACGGAATGAGCTGGAAGTTTCCAGGAAAAGCAAGGCATGAGGTAAAGCTGTCCCACCACACAGGGGTCATGCCTCCTCCTCTGGGCCACAGGCCAGCACAGAGAACACACACACAAGTCCAGGTGAGCCTCATGCTCTGCTTGCTGCACGTGTGCCTTCCCAAACCCCTTAAGCACCGAGCTCATCAGTGTACAGGCATTTATCCAGCTTAGCACATTCTGCTGGAGCCCAGCCCACCTGCACCAGGACATCAACTCTCACTGATTTTTATTTGACAGATTAGAAGCATTTTTAAACCAGTAAATCCATGGCTGATAGCCCCCTTCACCTGTTGTGTCTTTATCCAGAGGTTTTGGGTTAGTCCTGGGTCGTTCCCCAGTCAAACCAGCACCTTGAGTTGTGTCCTGCACACTTGTGGGAACCAGTGTGCCAGGATGAGGGAGGAGGTGGGATTGCTGCTGTTGCCAAGTTAAAACATCCACCAAAACACTTGGGAGCTCTCCACCACCCTTTCCATGGCCAGCACCCAGAACTGAGGGCAAAGCTTAACGCCAAATACCACATGGCCTCACACCAAATGAGTCCAGAGTATTAAAGGATAAGGATTTACCTTTATGGGCAGCACCTTGAAGGTGAGAGAACAGGTAGTGCTGTGACTCAGAGAGCAACACCATCACAGAGCTGCCACTTGCCCTTCCCAGGGGTTTACAACCGCCTCAAAACCGTGTGGGAGACACAGCAGCTTTCCTGGGATCTCTGAGAATATCATCTCAAACTCTCAGAGCAGCTGCTCCCAAGCTGTTCCCAGTCACAGCCCAGTTCCCAGACCATGCAGTCCCCCCGAACAGCAGCACGAACACCAGACAAGCCAGAGCTCCTGACAGGGCCTAACTGGGACCTGACTGCTGGAATAGCTCCCTCCAAAAGAACACAATGAGAGAAGACACAGGCACAAGAAAACCAGCTTCAGGCTGAAGTTTTCTCACATTTCACAGCACACTCAAACCAAGGCCCACAGAACAGTCACACGCAGTGTTTCAACTCATCTCCTTGTTCCAGACACACACACAAAACCTGTTGTGACAAACTACACTGACACTTCTTTCATGTCCCTATCCCAAAGCTCCTTACTCAGCCTCCAACCCTCCTCCCCTCTTCCAGAGCCCAGCAGCCAAATTCCCTTCAACCTTGGTGACACAAAAGAACCCACAAAGCCACTGCCAGGCAAGCTCACCCCTCTGGGCAGGCTGCAGCCATCCACCAAAAGCCTGTTTGGGTTGTTCGACCCTCCTGCCAGGAAAAGCCTTCTCCTCCTCCAGTTCCAACAGAACCAAGACCAGAATAGGATTGTTTAGGGCCAATACTGACCAGTCTTTGGCTGTAACGGATCCGCTCTTCCTCAGGCTCCATCTCTGACTCCTCTGAAGAGAGCGAAAAGGACACGCCAGGACTGCTGTCTTCGTCCTCTTCCTCCTTGGAAGCCAGAGGGAAACAGTGAAGCAGGACATGGAGACACAGGACACCTACACCCCCCACCTCCCTGCTCTTTTTGGGACTGACCCCACAACCCTGTGCAGCGCTAAGAGAACACAGTGGCTGAGCCCACCTCAACTTTTAAGGTTCCCATTCTAATTTAGGCACGACCCAGTAAATGACTTCACCAGCTGCTCTGTAATGTGACAGGACCTGCAAGTCTCTCATCGGGAAAAGGCCTTTGCTCCACTCTACCACCAGCCCAAACAGCAGCTCCGTTGGCCCACAGTGGGATAAGAGACAGGGAAGGTGCTGTCAAACCCTCAGTGGCAGTCAGGGAGCAGCCTGGCTTCCCCAAAATAATGCATTAGAGAATCAACTCCTCCAAACAACACAACCACTGTCCTCGGGATCTCCTCTACCGTGTCATTTGGGAGAAGCTACACCAGCACAGAACATCTCTCATGAGCAGGGAAGGCACATACATACAGCACCCAAGCAGGGAAGCACTCAGGGATCTAACTCCTGACTTGAGGAGACCCAAATGCTTGGATCTCCAAATGTGCCACCTGGTGACATCGCACACCAACCTGGGAAAACCTCCCGAGGCGTCAGATGGCATCTACACTCTTTTTTTTTTTTTTTAAGGGACAGGATGGAACCAAAGCCCGGGTGTATCGAAGCTCTTAATCCCCAGGACTATGCCTAAGCCAGACCTTCAGGGGAAAGGGTCGGGGAAAGGGGGTCGGGGAAGGGGATCTGCCACCCCGTGTAACGTTACAGAACCGCTACCACCACGTAGAGAAAACTTGCTCCCTCCTGCACCTCCCCGATCCTCGGGTTTGACAGCAGATCATCCCCAGTCCCGCCAACACCTTCCCCACCCCTGCCTCCCTTCGAGCCCCGGGACCAGGACTCCCGGCTCGGCCGAGGGAGGCAGTTTCCCCGCACTTGCTGAACTCTGTTTATAAACAACCGGACAGCTGGGAGTGCAGCGCGCCCGCCCCGCCGCGGGGCGCGGGGGAGACCCCCGACCCTCCAGGCGCCCCCGGCCCGGCCCCGCCGGGGCAGGACGAACGGCGGGGGGCAGGGAGGGTCCCCGGGGAGCTGTCAGCCGGCACCCGCCGCCCCCTCCCCAACTTCCCGGCGCGGCCTCCGGGGGCCCGACTCTGGGAGACCCGCCCGCCCCCGCTCCCGCCCGGCCCCGCGCCCGCGCCCCGCGCCCGCCCCGGGAGGCGGCCGGTGACCCCCGCGGTGCTCACCAGGTCTCTCCTGCGCCTTTGTCCTCTTCTGCCGCCGGCACGGGGGGGGGAACAGAACACACGGAGGAGGGGGGAACCCCCCGGGTCAGCAGCGATCGCGCCCCGCGCTCGTCGCCCTCCCCGGCCCCGCCGCCCCCGGCGCGGGCAGCGGGCGCTGACAGCGCCGCCGGCCGCCCCCCGCCGCCGCGGGCCGCGTCCCCCCTCCGCCAGCGCCACCGCCGCCGCCGCCACCGCACCTCGCCCCGCCGCCGGGTGCCGGAGCCCCGCCGCGCCGCCCCGCCCCGGCCCGCCCGCCCCGCGCCCCCCCGGCGCCGCCGCCCCCCGGCCGGGACGCGAGTCCCCCTCCTCACACAGGAGCCGCCGCCGCCATTTTGAACCCGTCAGAGCCTCACATACACACCGACGCCGCGCGCACGCGCCGCACGCACAGCGGCCCCCCCTGCTGCCGGCCCCCCCCCGCGCGCATGCGCTGCGCGCCCCCACGGCCCCGCCCCGCCTCGCGCGTGCGCGCTTCCGCGGTGGCCACGCCCCGTCTCCGATTGCCGCGCCCCCTTTCCCGGGTGGCCACGCCCCCGGTGGCCACGCCTCTGGCGGGGGAGCCGGAGGGGGAGGGGCCCGCAGGGAAGGGACGGTGGGATTTTGGCGGGGGGAGGGGGTCGTGGCCCATCACACCCTGCTCGTGGGGTCCCTCGGTGTCCGCACACCCGTGCACACCTGTATGGGGGTCTGCGTGCAGAGATGCGGGCACATATGTGTATCTACATGTAACTGCATACAACTACGTACAGCTATACACGTACATATCTGCATACAATCTACGTACAACTGCTTAGATATAGGCTAAAGATACTAAGAATATAGTTATAAAATATATATAGTTATATATATAATATGTATAGTTATAAGCTAACAATATACAGTTATATGTATGGTTATAATCATATATATAATAAATATAGTTATGTAGATAGATATACACTACATGTATATAGGTATAGTTACATATATATATAGTTATAAACTATGTATATTAACTATATATGGTTATAGCTATAGTTATATATATATAGTTATAACTAGAGTTGTATATAGTAATAGATATATAGTTATATATATAGTTATAAGCTAACAATATGCAGTTATACATTCAGTTACAGTTATATATAATAAATATAGTTATATGGATAGTTATAAAGTAACTACATGTAGGGGTAATATATATAGTATATATATATCTAATATATATACTATATATATTTTATAACTATATTACATAGTTATAAACTATATATATTAATTATATATAGTTATATATAGTTATAACTATATATAGTTAATATATATAGTTAGAAGCTAACAATATACACTTGTAGTTATATATACAGTTATATACATAATATAGTTATAAACTATATACATAATATAGTTATAACTATATTATAGTTATAGTTGCATGTACTATATATATAAACCATATGTTAACTATATATACTTATAACTATTTATAGTTACTTATAAACTAACTCTAGCCCAACAATATAGTTATAAACTATATATAGTTCTAATTATATATATATGTAGTTACAAACTATATACAGTTCTAGTTATATATATAATAAATATAGGTATACAAAGAGTTTAAAAGTAACTACATAGACATATAGTTACAAGTGTAATATATATATTTATAAACTTAACTATAATATATTTACAAATAGAAAATATATAAAATGCAGGCATGTAAACACAGACAGTGCAGGTGCAGCACACACATGTGCACACATGTATAACACATACACACACGTGTACATGTTTATATACGTGCAGCACACACCTGTACACACCTGTACACACATTCACACTCGCCCCAGCCCAAAATCAGCAGGTAACCCCTTTTCAGAGGCCACCCATCCATCCCAGATCCATGGTGGGACCCCATTTCCCCATCTCCCACCCTGTGTCCTTGTCTCCCACTCCATGTCCCAAATGTCCCCATGTCTCTGGAGCACACCCCGTGTCCCCAATGCCCACTCCGTGCCCCCAGTGCCTGCCCCATATTCCTGACACCCACCCCGTGTTCCCGTCACCCACCCCGTGTTCCTGTCTCCCATCCCGTGTCCCGACGCCCAGGCCATGCCAGGGCTGCTTCTGCCGAAGGGACCGTGTCACGCTGACAGCTGACAAGTGTTGTGTCACTTTAATGGCAGAAGTGTCCCGCGGTCACCACCCGGTGTCACTCCCCGCGCTGGCCTGCCAGGGGGAAGGGGAATCCCCCACATCAGTTCTCTGCTCCCAGAACCTGGCTGGCGAGGATGCTTGGATGCTGGGATTTCTAACGGGACTGGGACAGGACGCTGGGATTCCTGGTTGGACAGGGACAGGACGCTGGGATCCATGGTGGGACAGGGACAGGACATGGGGATCCCTGGTGGGAGAGGGATGGGATGATGAAATCCCCAGTGGGACAGAGACAGGATGCTGGGATCCAAGTGGGACAGGACACTGGGATCTGCGGTGGGACAGGACACTGGAATCCCTGCTGGGACAGGGACAGGACACTGGGATCCCAGGTGGAACAGGATGCAGAGATCCCTAAAGAGGGTGCTGGGATCCCTGCTGGGACAGGACACGGGGATTCCTGCTGGGACAAGACACTGAGATCCAGGTGGGGCAGTTTCTTCATGCCAGGGGGATGCTTTCCTGCCGGCACCCCATGGTGACAGGCAGTGCCAGCCCCGGGACAGGAGGGTGGCCACGGTGGCGGCGGAATTCCGGAGGAGTCAGCAGAGGAGGCAGCAGCCGGGAGCCGCGGTGTGGTCGGAGCTGGGGACAGCGGCAGATCCCAGGGGTCGTGTGGTGCCGGAGGGCTCAGAGGAGCACGCAGCCCCTCCAGGCTCTCCTCCCGCGCTGTCTCCGGCGGGTGGCACTCATGGCAGCACTGCTGGCTGCCACAAAGATGTTCCCGACGTTCTCCTGGTACCTGGCCGAGCACTCCATGTAGGACACGGCACGGACCTGCCGGGCCATGGCCTCTCCCTGCGGGGAGACACAGAGTCAGATCCCCCAGAGGACCCCGGGTGCCCCACTGCCCCCCCACCCCGTCGGAGGGTGGCAGTCACCTGCTGGCGGGAAACGGGTTCCATCCGCCCATCCCGCAGCTTCCGCAGCGTCCCCTCGTCCTGCCGCAGGTCCGTCTTGCAGCCCACGAGCAGCACCGGGACCCCCTTGCAGAAGTGATTCACCTCCGGGTACCACTGCAGCGGGGACATGTCACCCAGGGATGGGGACAGGGGATGGGCACAGAGAGGAACATGTCACCCAGGGATGGGGAAACAGGATGGGCATAAAGTGGGACATGTCACCCAGGGATAGGCACAGGGGTGGGCACAGAGGGGAATATGTCAGCCAGGGATAGGGGACAGGGCCAGAGGGGGACATGTCACCCAGGGATGAGGACACAGGACTAGTGTGGAGGGGAGCAGGTGATCTAGGGATGGGGACAGGGGATAGGCACAGAGCGGGACATCTCATGCAGGGATGGGGACACAGGATGACCACAGAGGGGGGCATCTCACCCAGGGACAGGCACAGGGGACGGTCACAGAGGGGACATGTCACACAGGGATAGGGACAGGCAGCAGCCCCAGCGGCCCCCGTGATGTGTCACCTTTGTTAGGATGTTGTCAAAGCTGTTGGGGTCGGTGACATCAAAGCAAATGAGGACAACGCTGGCATCTGAGTAGGACAGCGGGCGAAGCCTGTCATAGTCTTCCTGTCCTGCCGGACCGAGGAGCGGACCATTATACACCAGTTCCTTACTGGACTGGGTCCCCCCTCCTCCGCCGTGGTCCCTCCCCCGAGGCTGGGACCACGGGAGTGACATCTTCTGTTAACCCCTCCTCTCCCACGGTCATTGCATGGGGACACCCCATCCAAGGCACGACCCAGGGGTGTGGGACACAACAAAACACCTGGATGGGAGAGTGAGGGGCACAACTGCCTGCCCTGTCCCGTCCTGTCCCACCTGCTGTGTCCCAGAGGTGGATCGTCACGGGCTTTCCGGCAACCTGCAGGGACGCCGTGTACTTCTCGAACACGGTGGGGACGTAGACCTGGCAGAAGACAGGGAGGGTGTGAGACAGGTCCTACAGGCAGCGGTGGGGGGCATCCCGTGGGGACAGGGCAGGGCACGAGGAGGTAGCCGGGAGAGGGAAACAGGGGTCAGGAGATGGTGGTGCCTCACCGGTGCAGGGCGCCGGCGGGGGGGGGACTGTCCTTGTCCCCCATCCCAGGGCACTACTGAACCTCATGCATGTCCCGGTGGGACACGGGGATCCAGACAGACATTCTGGGGTCTCGGTAGCTGCCCCCCCCTCCACACATTCCCCAGGTCCCGTCGGTGCCCTCACTGAGGGACAAACTCTGCTCCCTATCCCGTGACCCCCCAGGTGAGGCAGAGGTGCCCACTCACCCACCAAGGGGGGGCTGCCGCAGACCCCCATCAGCCCCAGGCTGGGCCACCCCTTCCCCAGTCCCCTGCCATCCCCATGTCCCACTGCAAACGTCCCCGCTGCTGCCACCGCGTCCCTCTCATCCCGCGTCCACCACCCTCTGCCCCTGTCGCCGCTCTCGCAGGGGGACAGTCCCCCTCCCCCCACCAGTGTGTCCCGCCGGGGCTGGGACAGGGCACAGGGAGCCCAGTACCTTGGGGAAGTCCCCTCTGGCGAAGGCCACCAGCAGCGACGTCTTCCCGCAGCCCCCGTCCCCCACGACGACAGCCTTGACCTCGGTTTCGGGGGGTCCTGGGCTCTGCCCCCCGCGCTCCGGCTGCATGGGGGTGTCCAGTGAGGCCGTGGAGCCTGCCTGGCCTCGGCGGAGACAGGGATGGGGACGGGGCGGTGGGAAGCACCCGCCCGGTCCAGGGTGCGGCCGTCACCTCACCCGCCCGTCGGGCCCGCCCGCGGCGCCGCTCGGGGCTGGGGCCGTGGAGGTGACAGCGGCAGGGACACGCGTGTGGGTGTCCCCGCGCACCTCGCATGACCTTCACCCGGCAGGAGGGGCACACGCTTCCCACCTCCACGTCCCTCCTGCGTGTGCAACTCCCCCTCACACACCTGCCTGTGCACACACGTGGCTGCCTCTTGCACACGCAGGGACACGTGTGACCCCATCCTACACGTGCAGCCCCTGTGCTGGCCCAGCTCCTCCTCGCACGTTCCGTGCAGGCTCTCTTGCACACTCGTGCTTGCACACCCTGCATTCCTGTGCCTGTGTGTGCAAACACACTTGTGTGCCCTCCCCAACACCCCATTCCCACCCCGAGCCTGGGTTTTATTGCCCCGAGCATCCACAGGAGACAAAGTCCAGGGGTGGAGGGAGGCACGAGGGGGGGTGACTCACTGCTACGTCCCTGCCACCAGTGCCACCCCTGACGTCACACCAGTGCCTTGCCATGCTAAGCCATGCCCTACCAGCAGTCTCTGGTGCCCGGCTCAGCACCAGAGGGGGGCAGCTCCCAGCCCCCCATCTTTTCCTGGTGACCCCAACACACCGGTGGGGACAGGCCATGACATCCCACTTTGCTTGGGGATATCCCAAACCAGCACAGATGGTGCTGGGGGTGGCCCCCACTGACCACTCTGTATTACCCACAGCAGCCCTTGCCCACCCCTCTGGGTTGGGGACTCCTTGGTGCTGCTTGCAGGGCTCAGAGTGTGCCTGGACATGAGGGTTTGGGGACGTAGGGTGGTCTCTGGGGAGCCCCATGTGGTGTCTGTTCCTGCAAGCTCCCCAGCCCTGTGGTGGGTGCCCCAGGTGAGCCCCTCGGGGTTATCAGCAGTCCTGGCAGCAATTACCTGGTTTAATGAGTCAAAAAAAGCAGCTTTCTGCCCTTGCTGGCAGAGCAGAGGGCACCTGGCACTTGAGGTGCTTTGTCCAGCCTCTGGCATGTCCCCCCACCGGCATAAGGGGTTCAGTGGCTGAAGGGGACATGGGGCAGCCAGTGCTGCTTTGAGGAGGAAGGAGAGATCATGTCCCCCCATACCCCTGCTTGGAGCTCCCCAAGACCACCTCCCCTCCAGTCAGTGCCCTCTTCTGCCACCCCAAAACCCTGTGGGAGTAAATGGGTGCTTCTGGTCTAGGGGTGCAGAGAGGGATGGGAGAATCATGTGTGCGGTTCCCTGACATTCCTGCAGCCCTGTAGCTCCTCTGCCACCAGGCCCTCTGGGCTCAGTGGGTACCAATCAGTCCAGGAAAGCTCTGGAGCCCTCAGACCAGTTGGGGTGAGTCCAAACTGACGGCTGGAGCACCAAATTCGAAATTCTCTCACCCAGGCCTGATGCAGGATGAAGTTGGAGGAGACACATCAGGGATTCTCATGCCGGGAGGCTGGAAGGCAAATGCACGCAGTAATGAACAATCTCAGAAGGATGCCAGCATTGGGGCAGGATGGGGAGAGGAGACTGGAGCACCATAAAACAATTAGGAAGGTGGTAATTACCAGTCTAATGAGCTATCAGGTTGAATCCTAAAAGCATCAAGATTCTTTCACATCTAACTGCTGCAGTGTTCGTCCTCTGGGGTATTCACTCGGACAAAACATTTCCTTTCCCGCAAGACCAACAGAAATTTGATGGGAGAAAAGACAGCCTGTGTGCAACTGCCCAGTGCTCTCACTGCCTGACCTGTGATTGTGCAGAAACGCCCCCAAAAGAAGCTTTATTTGGGGAGAGACGGGCTGCTCGGAGCTTCTGAGGACGTGGAGACCCCACACCTCCTCATCGGAGAAGATTGTGGCAAGGAGAGCTCAGACGCACAGGCAGGTCAGCTCTGGGCTGCTGCAGGGAAAGGGAAGGGGTCGGGACCAGAGTCCAGCCCTGGGGGTGTCTTCTTAGATCTCCCCACAGCCCCCTCACTGCTCCCACGGGTGTCCTTAATTGGGGGGGACGGGAGCCCCTCTAACCCTCCCTCCACCCTCACCCTCAGCCCTCCTATCACCCCATCCCCAGTCCTGCTTTGCCACATCCCCAGGACGCCTGTCCCTGTCACATCCCCTGGGTCCCACTAACTCCCTGCCCGCTCTGACCACAGCCAGGGACCACGTCCCACCTTCCACCATGGAGCTGAATCAGACATCCCCACCTCCCACATCTGCCGTGACGGACACCGAAGAAGAGAACCAGTGCAGGATAGAACTCACTGACGTGGCCATAGATGGTGTCACCCTGCTCATTGGCCTCTGTGGGCTGGTGGGGAATGGGGCTGTCCTCTGGCTCCTCGGCTTCCACATTCGCAGGAACCCCATCACCGTCTACATCCTCAACCTGGCCGTAGCTGATTTCACCTTCCTCCTCTTCGTCATCACCTTATCCCTCCTCTACATGGTGGACAATGTCTCCTGCTCCACTGTCGTGTCCGTGAGGTACCTAAAGCCGTTCCTCCTGCTGTCACTGTTCTCCCACAACATGGGGCTGTACCTGCTGACGGCCATCAGCATCGAGAGGTGTGGGTCCATCCTCTGCCCGCTCTGGTACCGCTGCCACCGCCCCCAGCACCTGTCAGGGGTGATGTGTGCCCTGCTCTGGGTCCTCTCTGTCGCTGTCATTGCCACGGTGACTTCCCTATGCCTGACACACAAGGAAGAGCTTTGCCAGATGTCTCTCATCTCCATGTTTGTCCTCAACTTCCTCATCTTTGCCCCACCCATGGTCATCTCCAACCTGATCCTGTTCATTAAGGTCCACTGTGGCTCCAAGAGACGTCAACCTAAGAGGCTCTACATCGTTATCTTCCTCACTGTCCTCTTCTTCCTCACCTTTGGGGTTCCTCTCAGCCTCTTCCACCTCCTGCAGCAGCTCAGCTACTCCTTTGTGTCCATCCAGGTTGCTTTCCTTCTTGCCTGCATCAACAGTAGCACCAACCCCTTCATCTACTTCCTGGTAGGGAGCTGCAGGAGGCGCTGTTCTCTGGTGTCCCTCCAGGTCGCCTTCCGGAGGGTCTTTGAGGAGACGGCGGTCACCACGGTCTCCAGCTAAGAGGCCACTGCCGTCCCGCTGGCTGTGCTGCCCACCCAGGCTTTACGCTCAGCTGCCCACCCTTGCTCCCAGCCAGGCCCCTGCAGGTCACCTCCGCGCAGCTGTGTGTCGGGATGGATCCCTTATCCCATCTCCACTCCGTCCTGATCCATGTTGTGTCCGTCCCCATCTCATCCTCAACCCCATCCCTGTCCCATCCCATCCTGTCCCGTTCTATCCCGGTCCCGCTCCACCCCGCAGGACTCCCGGCCGGCGGCCGCTCCCCGGCTCCGAGCGCGGCCCGCCGGGCTCTGCTGCCCTCCAGCGAGGGGAGACGGCACGGGCAGCGTCCACACACCTGCGACACCCTCCAGACCCCCTCCGACACCCTCCTGACCCCCTCAGACACCCTCTGACAACCTCTAGACACCTTCCAACACCGTCGTGGCACACTCCAGACCCCCTCCCACACCCCCCAAACCGCCTCGATAGCCTCCAGACGCCTTCCTGACACCGTCCAGACCTCCACAAGACCCTCCAGACCCCTCCTCCCGGGGTCGCCTTCCCCCCAGGCGGTGCCCGACAGCCCCACTCCTGCCCCGCTGACCCGGGACCCCCGGGAGCGCCTCCGCTCCTCCTGGCCCGTTCCCGCTCCTCCACCCCAATAAACGCCGCTGGCTCTATCTCGCCGCCGCCTCTTGTTCTTTTCCCAGGGAAGTTGGGGGGGGGGGGGGGGGGGCTGGACAGCAGGGGTGAAGCTCTGAGTGTGTGGGGAGTCTCCCAGAGAAACAGCCCCCCGAAACCTTATGGAGAGTCCTGGGGCGAGCAGCCCCATGGGGAGGGACTGGAGCGTCGGGAGTGAGGATGGAGTTGGGGGGGGACTGCATGAGGGGGCAGGACGTGGTAGGATTGGCATGGGGGAGCGGCGTGGGGGGTTGGTATGGGGGCTGTCGGATGTGGGGGCTCTTGGGAAGGTGTGGGACGTAGTGGGAAGGTGTGGGATGTGGTGAGGCTGGAGGGAAAGTGTGAGATGTGCTGGGAAGGTGTGGGTTTGGGCGGGGCTGGCGACCTCGGCAAAGCCACAGGGGAGGTGGGTAATGCCCCGTGGAGCCCGTGGTGACAAACACACTGTCACTCTGCTCCTGGAAGGGGGTAGCCGGGCTGGGAACCGCGAACTCCCCCTCCCTTTGCCACTGCACCATCCGAGTCTGCTGAAGGCGAAGCTGAAGCCAGGGTAGAGGGGGAGAATTTCCGAAGGAAAAGAGTCCTTTACATTTACACCTGGCTCATAAAATTAAAAAATATTTGGGGAGATCTTTGCTGTGACACTCACAGAGCAGCCGAGGGGGGGAACATGGAACCCCTGGGCCATCCTGTCCATGCCGGCTGTGCCCGTGCAGTCCCAGCTATGGGCTGTGGGGGTCATTTGTGCTCCAGGGAATGAGTATGTCCCCTCCGTCCATGTGTGTGCCCCCTCCCTCTACCCACATTCCCGGCTGGCAGTAGGAGCCAGAGGAAAGCGGCAAGCTCAGGGTTCACGAAGCTGTTTATTGATTTCAGACCACAGTGGGATGCAGGAATCACGTACCGGGGGGATTTTTGGGATCACAGCCCTGTGGGGCATGATTCCTTTGGAGGAATAGCGTTCTGGGACCTGGGAGGGAGGAGAAAGCCGTGCTCCAACATGCTCCCTGCAGAGCATCCCTCCCACACTGCCCTTGGCAATGCGCCTGCTCCCATTTCCCGGAGGGATTACACTGCGGGAGGGTGACACTGGGGGAAATACCGTGGATGTTTATTAATCTGGTGACTCAGGGAAACCCTCAGCCACCGTCCCAGGGTCCTTCAACAGGCTGGGACCACCGTGTCCATGATGGCACCATTGCTGCAGGCAGTGTTCTCTTCTGTCTCCTCAAAGACCCTCTGGAAGGAGACCCGGAGGGACACCAGGGAGCAGCGCCTCCAGCAGCTCCCCATCAAGAAGTAAGTGAGGGGTTTGATGCTGCTGTGGATGCAGGCGAGTAGGAAAACAACCTGGGAGGACACAACAGTGTAGCTGAGCTGCTGCAGGAAATTCGAGAGGCTGAGGGGAAGAGCGAAGATGAGGAAGAAGAGGACAGTGAGGAAGATAACGATGTGGAGCCTCCTGGGTTGCTGCTGCTGGGAGCCACATTTGACCTTAATGAAGAGGACTGTGCTGGAAATGACCATGGGTGGAGCAAAGACGAGGAGATTGAGGATGTACATGGAGATGAGAGACATCTGGCAGGGGTCGTGCTCATCCAAGAGGCACAGGGAAGTCACCGTGGCAATGACAGCGACAGAGAGGACCCAGAGCAGGGCACACATCACCCCTGACAGGTGCTGGGGGCGGTGGCAGCGGTACCAGAGAGGGCAGAGGATGGACCCACACCTCTCGATGCTGATGGCCGTCAGCAGGTACAGCCCCATGTTGTAGGAGAACAGTGACAGCAGGAGGAACGACCTCAGGTACCTCAGGGACACGACAGTGGAGCAGGAGGCATTGTCCACCATGTAGAGGAGGGATGAGGTGATGACGAAGAGGAGGAAGGTGAAATCAGCTACGGCCAGGTTGAGGATGTAGACGGTGATGGGGTTCCTGCGGATGTGGAAGCCGAGGAGCCAGAGGACAGCCCCATTCCCCACCAGCCCACAGAGGCCAATGAGCAGGGTGACACCATCTATGGCCATGTCGGTGACGTCTATCTCACATGGATCATCACCTTCAGCGGGTGAGGTGGGAGGTGGGGATGTCTCGCTCATCTCCATGGATGGACGCCGGGTAGGTGGTGGGACCTGGTCCCTGGCTGTGGTTAGAGTGGATGAGAGTTAGAGATTGGAGAATCCAGGGATGAACCATGTGGCTCCTCACCAACTCTCTGCCCTGGGAAGGATTCAGAGCAGAGAAGTGGGATGTGCTGGGGAAGGAGCTGGAGGACATTACAGGGTGGGAGAAGGGGGTGGGAGAGGGGGGTGGGAGGGCTAGGATGTTCACAGGACATGCAGGAGGCAAGTAGAGGGAGGACCTGAGGAGAGCACTGTGGTCACCAGGAGAGAGTGGGAGGAAAAGAGCCGCAGGTTGTGGATGTGGAGGAGAGGAAGGTGGGACAGGGAAGAAGGGAAACATTCCACTTAACTGTTCGCTGTGGGAAGCAGCAGGCGAGGGTTGTCTGTCCAGATCAGCGGCGCTTCTTGGCATCTCATGCTCCTTTTGGATCCATATCCTAGAGCAGATCCTCCCAGGACAGTTACATGAAGAAGAAAGCCTCTGGATCACCAGGAGGTCCCCTCTGACTCCTCTCCGTGTCCTGTCCTGGTGTTGTTCCCTCAGGAGCAGTGGGGACACGGGGGAGTTGGAAACGGTTTTGTAACTTTGGCTGCGTCAGAGCTGCACTTCCTTGGGGTTATTTATCTTGTTTCGGTTTGTTTTTTGGTTCGTTTTTTTTTTTTGCCACAAAGGAAGTGGCTTCTGCCAAAAGCTCCCCACGAAGAATTTTGTGAATGGCTCCTCCTTTACTCCTGATCAAAAACACTCTCCCTCGCCCCCCCCCCCCCCCCCCCCCCCCTCCCGCCCCGAGAACTTCCTGTTCTCCAACTGCATTCCCTCTCCAGCCAGGTTTTGGCCATTCCTCATTTTTCTCCAAACCTCAGCATCTCTGGGGGGTCACCACTTCTCTGGCAGCAGAGGGATTCTGGTGGTGCTGGAATGCTGGCAGTGCTGGCAGTACTGGCAGCACTGGAGAGGCAGCTGGGTACTTCTCAGAAGCAACTCTCATTCCGGAAAGAGCACTGGGATCATTGCCAAAACCTCCTCTGGGCCCAAGAGAACATACCTGCAAACTGGAGCCAAGAATTCCAGTTTTTGCCATTCTAACACAGGCCCTGACAGCCCAAGTGAAGGGCAGCAAGCAGTTGTTTGCAACCAGGTTATGAGCACTTACAGCCCAGATTAATTACTGCTAATACCTTTAGTGATGCAATGAAAGCTATTGGAGACCATATTTTGGGGTGCTGTGATCCCCATCCCAGCCCTTCACCAGCAGCATATCCTCCTACCCCTCAGGTTTGGGAGCACTTGTGGTTGTTCTTACCTGATCCCACCCCTTTGGTAGCAGGGTCACCTTCCACTGGCCCAGGTTGCTCCAAGCCCTGTCCAACCTGGCCTTGAACACTTCCAGGGATGGGGCAGCCATAGCTTCTCTGAGCAACCTGTGCCAGGGCCTCACCACCCTCTCAGCAAAGAATTTCTTCCCAATAACCCATGTAAACCCACCTTTTGTCGGTGTGAAACCATTCCCCCTAGTCTTGTAACTCCAGGCACTTGCCCAGAGTCCCTCTCCAGCTCTCTTGGAGCCCCTTTAGGCAGTGGAAAATGCTCTAAGGTCTTCCTGGATCCTTCTCCAGGCTGCACAACCCCAACTCTCTCAGCCTTTCCATAGCAGAGGTGCATATCTATCTATATCTATATCTATATCTATATCTATATCTATATCTATATCTATATCTATATCTATATCTATATCTATATCTATATCTATATCTATATCTATATCTATATCTATATCTATATCTATATCTGTATCTATATCTATATCTATATCTATATCTATATATCACCTATATCTATATCTATATCTATATCTAATCTATATCTGTATCTGTATCTATATCTATATCTATCTATATCTATCATCTATATCTATTTCTATCTATATCTGTCTATATCTTTATCTATCTATCTCACTGTGCATCAGCAGCACCCAGAGGATTTCTGAATGAATCCACCCACTGATCCCTCAGGTATTTTAAGCTTCCAGAAAGTAACTCCTCCAGCTGTCTTGCCACTTGCTGTATGTGCAGACAGCTGATATCTTCCAAGTTACATGTTTGTTCCCAAAGAGATCACTGTGTGTTGACATCAAGGTACTTTTTAGGGATTTTTGTCTGTTTGTTTTTTATTTTAAGGCTAAATAAATAGTTTAAGGCTGAGTCATTCTGAGTTGCACTGGCATGGCCTCTTTTTCAAGCTGATCTCAACCCCTCTTTCAGCTCAGCATGTGCTTCCACCCACCTCCCTCCAGCCACTCAGCTGGGAAATGAGATAAACACATCACAACTGGCTGGAGACTGGGAATTCCCGCTGCAAATGTGGAGGCCAGCTGGAAACATCACTGTCATTTCAAATCAGTACACGGGGTTCATAAAGAGATGGTCATTTTTATTCCAGGGAGGTTTAGTGGAGCAGATGGAGATGTTAGTCCGGGGATGGCAGGAATGTCTTCTGTGCCTTTTGTTATTGCTGAGCCTCTCTTTTACCTGATAAAGTTCATAGGAAGTGAGAATCCAGTTAGGCTGGATCTTTAATGTGTTGGGATTGTAGAGTCATTTTTCACAGTATCATAGAATCTTGGAATAGTTTGCATTGGAAGGAACCTTAAAGTTCATCCAGTTCCACCCCCTGCCATGAACAGGGACACCTTCCACTAGATCAGGTTACTCTAAGCCCCATTGAACCTGGCCTCGAACACTTCCAGGGATGGGGCAGCCACAGCTTCTCTGGGAAATGTGTGCCAGACTCTCACAGGGAAGAATTTCTTCCTAATATCCAGTCTAAATCTATCTTTCCCTTTAAGGCCACTCCTCTCAGATTTGTTATTTGCTCTTTATATTTACTGTTTATTACTTATTGCTATTTATTGCTTACCATCTATTGTTTTCTATTTATTCCCTACTTTATTATGTACTGTTTATTACCTACCACCCACAGTTTATTATTTACCACCTGCACTTTAGGATTTACTATTAGTATTATTAATTACTATTAGTAGTGTTTATTAAATACTATTCATTATTTACTCTTCACATTAACATCATTTTAAACAAATATTTAACATTATTCACAAACATTTGGGTAATATTGCTTAATGGCTGCAGGCTTTACTTTCCCCACCAACTGAGAAAGAGATGGAGAGGGATATGGAGTGACAGGACAAGGGGGAATGGCTTCACCTCAGAGGGTGGGTCTATGCTGAATAATGGGAGGAAATTCTTCCCTTGAGGGTGGTGAGACCCTGGCACAGGTTGTCCAGAGAAGCTGTGGCTGCCCCATCCCTGGAAGTGTTCAAGGCTAGGTTGGACAGGGCTTGGAGCAATCTGGGATAGTGGAAGGTGTCTCGGCCCATGGCAGGGGGTTGGAACTGGATGGTCCTTAAGGTCCCTCCCAGCCCAAACCATTCCAGGATTCCACGAACACACCTCAGGGATGTTGCCACCAGGCACAGAGGAGAAGCAAATGAGGAGGAAGATGAAAATTCCGTGCTCAACGTGACGCCAGGTTTGCAAAGAGGAAGTGTTTGAAGGAACCAGCAAATGGGGCTGCGACGCCCGTCCCGTGGGGTGGCACTCGGGCAGGACACTTCCGCTGCTCTCAGAGGGATGACCCAGCCCTGGCTGGGAGCACAGCCCACACCCAGGACCCAGCCCTTGCTCACACCCAGGGGCCACTCCTGAGGGAGAGGTGGGGAGCCAGAGCACGGACTGCTGAAGGCCCTCAGCATGGATTCACAGTGGTGCTGGTAACCAGATCTCGCCTGAGACAATTTGGGCATGTCAGCCTTGTGAATTTTCATGTGCAGCGCTGGCAGAGGGGACTGGAGTCTGCAGCGTTGGGACACCAAGGCCGTGCAAGGACTGTGCTCTCTCTGGAACCCCCGTGACTGGTGAGACGGGTCTGGGCTCACATCTGCTCTTCCTCCATCTTTCCATTCTTCCCATTCTTCTCCTCAGCCCTTTTTTACTCATAAAGGGCAAATGGCTCTGGATGCCTTTCCTTTCTCTCTCTACTCCCCTTTCAGCTCTCTGTCTGTCTTCTGCCACCATGTCCCTCCCTTTCTCTTGATTTCTTTGATCCCTTCCATTTCTCCTGTTTCCCTTCCCTTTCCTTCCCTTCCTTTCCCTTCCCAGACCTTCCCAAACCTTCCCAAACCTTCTCTGTCTATTTCCTGCCAGCCTGGGCCCAGAATTTTCCCTCCAGTCCCTATTTCTCTTGCCTGCCTTCCCTTCTCCCCTCTTCCCAGTGTTGATGTTCTCTGAGTTGCAGATGCTGAAGCCCTTGGAGGATGGGGAACACTGAATTACCAAAGTGCAGGTACTGGACACCCTAAAGTCCCTAATTTTGCCTTCATCTCTTGCGGGTCCCCAGGTGAGCACAAGGAAGATGGACCGGCACCCCAGCCACATGACCCACGACTGGCTTTCAGTGTTCCCAACTCCCACAGAGAGCCTGGACTACGGGGATGGACACAATGACACTGGGTGCTTTGTGGAGCACATCCCGGAGCTGCTCACGGGCGGCCTCACCCTGCTCACCTGCCTGTGCGGGCTGCTGGGCAACGGGGCCATCCTCTGGCTCCTGGGCTTCCGTGTCCACAGGAACCCCTTCAGTGCCTACCTGCTGAACCTGGCCCTGGCTGACACCTGCTTCCTGCTCTGCACCTCGGCCTTCCTCCTCATGTACCACATGCCCGTGCTCAGCCGCTCCCGCGCGGAGGTGCCACGGGCGCTGCCGCTGTTCCACTCCATGGTCCTGCTCACGTACAGCACCAGCCTGTACCTGCTCACGGCCATCAGTGTGGAGAGGTGCGTGGGCGTCCTCTGGCCCTTCTGGTGCCGGTGCCACCGCCCGAGGCTCCTGTCCCCCGTGGTGTGCAGCCTGCTGTGGGCACTTGCCTGTGTACTGGCTGGGCTAGTGTACTTCGTGTGTGACCTGGGGCACTCCGAGCACTGCTGGGTGGTTCTGGGAACCTTGTGCTTCCTCAGTTTCTGCGTTTTGACTCCTCTTATGGTTGTTTCCAACGTGATCGTCTTCATCAAGCTCAGGCGGAGCTCTTGGCAGTACCACTCACTGAGGCTCTACGCCGCCATCTTCCTCACTGTGTTCTCCTTCCTCCTTTTTGGTGTCCCACTCAGCATCCAGATTTTCCTCAACTTCTTTGTCTACATTAACCTTGTCTTTGAGATCTGCCTGTTGCTCGCCTCTGTCAACAGCGGCATCAACCCCATTATTTATGTCCTGGTTGGGAGCTACGGGAAGCCCAGGCTCAGGGGATCTGTCAAAGTGGCTCTACAGAGGGTCTTTGAAGACAGGGCTGATTCCCAAGAGGTGGGTGAGACCCCTGTGGTGGGAACTACTGCCTAAATCCCTGTGGGTGCCAACTGGCACTAGAAGAGAGGCAGCCCTACCTCTGCACAGTGGGAGCAGAGCCTTTGCCTGTCTGGATGAGTTGTGCATCCCCAGGACAAGGGCATACTTGAGATTTCTGGGGGCAGGGCTGGTTCCCACCTCAAATTTATATTTAAATTATTATAATAAATTTTTTTTCATGTAATTTACTGGGGACTGCAGTTCCTTCCCTTTCTGGCTCATGAGCTGCCTGTGCTTATTTCTAAAGTCACAGTTGTGACAGTCTCCTCATGCTTCCACTTAGTTCATCACACTGAAATGATGTGGCCCAGAAAGTCCTGTCTCATCTGTGCTCCTGTTCTCACCACCTTGATCCTCAAAAGCCCCCAGACCAGAGGAGATGATGGTGAGGGACAGAAATTATGTTTTCAGCTCGCTCTGGCTCAGTGTTCTCCTGTGCCACAGGGATGGAGAGAAAATCTAAGTGCTGCTGGCACCATCATCCAGCTGCCAAATCTTCATCCTCCAAGGGACCAACCTTAAACCTCCGAGGGGGTTTGACTGGGGAGGCAGGAAGGGATGGGAAAAGAGGAAAGTGCTGTGGTGACCAGCACTCTGGGGTCAGACAGACTGGCAAAGAGGGTCTGACAGCTGTGGGAAAGAGAAATTCTGTACTGGGGGTGGAGAAGCCCATGGAACAAACTGCAAGACCCAGAAGAGGCAGAAATAGAGGCTGAGAAGTACAGGAGGAATCCTCTAGGAGGCTGAGCTTTTCCTGCCAGATGAGATATCAGCTTCCCCACGCTGCTACCAGAGCCATAATATTTGCACATCGTGATTTCCTTTGTACATATACAAACCTGACCTTCACATAAACAAACAACTGATGTTTGTAAATCTCGTGTGGGAAATTCAGATTTCTAGAGAACATGCTCAGGACGTTGCTCAGGGAAGCAGAAGATGAGAGATCCTGGGGAATTCTGTTCTTTAATCAAGCACAGGACTTGATGGGGCAGCCACAGCTTCTCTGGGCAACCTGTTTCAGTGCCAGTCTCACAGGGAATAATTTTTTCCCAATATCCAATCTAAACCCCCTCTCTGTCAGTGTAAGGCCATTGCCCCTTGTCCTGTCACTCCATGTCCTCGTCTATTGGAGGCCCTTTAGATACTGGATCATGACCTGTTTGCACTGTAAAGGGTCAGCTTGGTGAGAGGATGTGAGATTTGGATTCCACAGTTTTGGACACAAACACAGCATCAGCAAGGAAGAGAGGAGCCAGTTCTGGTCCTTGGGTCCTCACACATGCCAGTTCTCAGTGGGAATATCTCTGCTCCCAGATGCATGAGAGTCTGGGTGGGAATCATCTCACCTCACTCCAGCTTTCTAGAAATTCCATGGAATTAATTTTGGGTGCTGAATGACTCCAAAGGGAGTGTGGAAGACAACTTAGATGAGCCCTGTAACTTCCCAATGGCTAAAGCCAGGCAAGCAACATTGATTCACCCCCTCTTCTATTCCTGAAATCCTGAATCATCCCTCTGCCATCTGCCCATGCTGCATCTCGTGCCCAGATTTTATTATTCCACGAGCTCCTTGACACACAAAGTAGAATCCTCTTTGAAACTGTGTGGCACAGGTCAAGTATCACTGAGTTTGTGGTATACAAGTGGCAAAATCAGATTTGAAGCAGAAATCGAAGTTTCCCAGCAAGTTTGTAGTGCAGGGTCCTAAAGATCCACCCCTGGAATGGGAGGAGAAAAATTCAGCCAGTTCGAAGATCATATTTTGAGACTGGGGTTGCTTTAAAAGGAAAGAGGAACCTGACACGGGGACAAATTCTTTTCCCATAGGTCTCTTTTCTGAGGTTCTCTTTTGTTAGTCATTTCCTGTACAAAGCCAAGAGTAGATTAGAACCAGAACCCTGCTACCGTCACAGGCGGGGGAATAGTTCCCCCTTTGCAAGAGCCCTCGAGAACATGAGTCAACGCTGAGAAAAGGGGGATGTGAAAGGACCAGGGTCAGACCCCATGTCAGACACTGCTCAGGCTCACCAGGAAGGCTTCGCTCCCATTTTCCAAGTGATAATTCCAGTAAAACTCCTGGAGATCCCATTCCAGGGACAGCAGCTGGCGAGTGTGAGATGATGTGAGACCGCAGCGCGTCTGCTCCAGTGGAATTCTTCAGGCTGCGAGAGGAAAGAAGGTCAGACTCTTATGGGTGGCTTTTTTCAGCTTAATCAGTGTCGTCCCCCCCCACTGGTGTGGAACCTGGTCATCAATTTTCACCAAATTTGATCAGGGAATAGCAGTCTGTAGGGTACTAAGACCTACAAATATTATGGAAAAAGGTGGGGGGGAGGGGGGATACTGAAATGAGTGTCCTGCTGAAGGAACCCAGCAGGTCAGTGATATCAACTACAATATTAGACACCTAAGAATCCAGATCAGACACACCCCAAAGCTTCTCATTCTTTGATATCTCCAAAGATGTCCTTCTTCAATTATTTTCCTCCACCAGATCTGTCCTGTCCAAATCCAGGAAGGAGGCATATCCCTGGCTTTTGTACCAGGCATGTTCATATCCACATCCCACATCCTATTTTCCATTTGTCCTGTCCCTCACCTCTCTGTACTCCCCCATGTGGAAGTTGGGGCATGGGACAAGATGGGAAAAGCCACATGTGGTGGACAGAGTGTTGCTAACGTGTCTCTGTTTCTCACCCCTCCAGCTGTGTGAGGGGAAGGAGAAGCAGCAGAGGTGTCACAATGGATACATCCTCTGCCACGGAAAGAGCCAGCCCCGCTTGCTGGAGCCAATCCAGTGGGATGGCATCTAACAGGAACTGGAGTGAGGACAACCCCTACAACTGGACTGACTATGAAAGCAGCCACTTGAGCAAAGTCCCTGTCACACTCCTCATCTGCCTCTGTGGGATGGTTGGGAATGGGGCTGTTCTCTGGCTCCTTGGCTTCCACATCCACAGGAACCCCGTCACCATCTTCATCCTCAACCTGGCCATCGCTGACTTCACCTTCCTCCTCTCCATCACCATCACTCTGGGGATATATTATGTCCCAGAGAGCCTCTGTCATGAGCTGGGCTCACAGGGAGTGACAACTGTGCTGAACATCATCATCTTGTTTGCCTTCACTGCCAGTGTCTACCTGCTGACAGCCTTCAGTGCTGTGACAGCTCTGTCTGTCCTCCCCATGTCCCACTGTCCCTGCCACCACTCTCAGCGCTTCCCAGTGCTCCTGTGTGCCCTGCTCTGGGTCCTCTCCTTCCTGCTCACCATGACCCTCTACTCCCACCCTTCAGCACTCATCGCCTTTGTCCTGAGCTACCTCTTATCAGTGCTCACTCTGATCTGCTCTGGTCTAACCCTGCTTGTTTTCCTATGCTGCTCATGGAAACATTCTTCAAGGAAGCTCTGTGCTGTGGTCCTTCTGGCTGTCATCTTCTTCCCCTTCTCCACTGCTGATTTTGGATACTGGCTCTTGCTAAGGGTGTTTGATTTTTCTGTCTTTGTCCTCAGCGCCTCCCTCCCACTCGCCTGTGCCAACAGCAGCGTCCACCCTCTTATTTACTTCTTGGCTGGGAGCTGTGCAAAGAAGTCCACACTCTCTGTTAGTGCTGCCTTCCAGAGGACTTTTGAAGATGTGTCAGAGCCTCAAAATAGAGACAACACAGTGGAATCATCATAAAATGGAATCATCATAAAATGAAATCATCATAAAATAGAATCATAAAATATCCTGAGTTGGAAAGGACCCATGAGGATCATTGAGTCCAACTCCTGGCCCTGTACAGGACAACCCCAACAATCCCACCATGTGCCTGAGAGTGTGTCCAAATGCTCCTTGAGCTCCGTCAGGCTCCCTGGGGACCCTGTTCCAGTGCCTGATCACCTTCTGGTAAAGAAACTTTTCCTAATATCCACCCTAAATCAGCTGTTTAAACCCCTGCCACCCCAATTCTATGATTCTGAGATGCTCTGGGGATGGAGGTGCCCTGGGGCAATACTGATGTGGGTCTAGCTATAGCTGAGTGGAATTAACTGCAGCACAAGGAAATGTGGTGGGTGGCAGGGGAACTCCTGCCTGGGGTGGATGCTGGATGATGTGATGAATAATCATAGAATCATCACAGTTTGGACTGGGAGGAATTTTACAGATCATTGAGTTCCAAACCCCCCACCATAGGCAGGGACACTCATGAAACTTGTTGCTTTGAAATCTGCTTTGAATCTTTCCTATTCAACAGGTCTGAGCTTTCCCTGTCTCAAAACTGAGCTTCTCTACCCTGTGGACTATTAAAACCAAGTCACCAAGGCTAAGAGTTCCTGCCAGTGGGGTTTTTTTGGTGTGTCTGCTTAAAAACAGAGTGCAGGTGAATATCTTGGCACAGCAGTGCAGACCAATTCCTGGATAATTCCTGACCAGCAGGTCCTGACACATGGGGATACTATGTGGAGACTTCACATTCAGCTTTGTTATCAGGGGCAGTAGGAATGTGTGTTTGGGATCCCCTCTGGAAGGTTCTCCCCAAAAGTGCATCGCTCCTGCTGCACACTGAGTTTGGTCTGCACATCATGTGACCTGTCTGCACACAAGGATTTGGGGCTGGAACTGCCTCCTGCGGATCCTCCCACTTTTCTCTGAGCTGTCTGGATGGTTTTAGCTTGAGCAGAGTGTCACAAACATGACCTGAGGGCTGGTTCCACTTCTGGAGACTCTGTTCCTCATCTGGGAAAAAAAAAAGGAGGAGGGTTAAAATTAAATGAGCTCTGCCTGAAGACTCAGCAAAGGTGAGATTTTCTATGTGAAAGAGGATACAGGGAGAGGGAAGGAAAAGGAAAACTGGACCTTTCATGGAAAAGAGCCTGTTGAGGCCATGAGGACTCAATCCCTGTAGCCTGGCTCAGGAATTCTCTGGGTAGAGGGGCAGTGGCAGCGCTTTCCCTGCTTCTCTCTCCCCTCCATGTCTGTCAGCCCTTTCTGAAATAAAGTATCTGAAGGATAGGCTTTAGAGGCTTTAGAATGAGAAGAAATAGAGGAAATGAGCCATTTTCTGACGCTGAGTCAGCCTTGCTCTGTTCACCAGTGACAAGCTCTGCAGCAAAGCCCAGACGCTGTTTATTTAACAAATTTCAGGGTCAGAGTTACCATGTTGGAAACAAACAAGAAAGAAATACAAATTTTATTCAGTAGTAGTAGCAAAGTGAGAAAGACTGGTACAACCAGGATTTTGATTAGTCATTAAAGCCACTGTGCAGAGTTGCTGTTCAGGTCCTCCTGAGGGTGGCCAGGTCCAGGATGGAAGTGGCGAATGGCTTCCTCTTCATATTGATGCTGGGGAATTAAAGGATGACCCCATTCTGCAGAATAGCAGTGTAACCCCCCTAATTTCTAAAAAATTAAGTGGTCCAAGCATCTGCTTCTGTGAATTTCTGTATTTCAAGCTCTTTTTGGTCATGGGTGCAAAGGTGTGTTCAGTGGAATTGGTATGAGCAGAGAGAGCACAGGAATTAGCTTGCCAAGCCCGTCTGATCCAGTGATCCCCTGCCTTGCTTCGCAGCATGGTTGGGAGCCGAGTCTGGAGAGGACTTTGTGATCTGTGCCAGAGCTGGTATTTGCCAGCTGTGCCGCTCTCTGGCATCAGAGAGGTGATATTTGGCATCAGACATTCTCAGTTGCTCTGTGTTATCTCACAGAATGACAGAGTGGTTTGGGTTGGAAGGGACCTTAAAACTCATCCAGTTCCAACCCCCTGCCGTGGGCAGGGACATCTTCCACTAGACCATGTTGCTCCAAGCCCTGCCCAACCTGGCCTGGAACACTTCCAGGGATGGATCATCCACAGATTCCCATGGGCAACAACTTACTGATGTGAACATGAGTACCAGGAACATACCTCTTGTAATTTCCCAGCACTAGTGAATCTACACTTTACTCAGAATGATTTAGTTCTGGAATTAAAGAATCTGACAAATTCCCACTTAAAGTGCAAGGGAACATTGTAGTTCCTTCCCCAGATCTGCAGCCCTGCCTGGCGTAGGGTTGTTTCCTTTCCCAAAAGTCGGGAATGCAGAGCCAGCTCTGCCGATCTGCTCTTGGGACAGAAAGGGAAGGGTGTTCCGTGCGATCCCAACCCCTCTCCTGCCATCTAGAGGTGTCAGCCCCAAAGAGACCTGTGAAATCAACACTGTCCCGTGCTGGATATATCCCCAGGGCTTACTATGTCACACCCTTTCCAGCCAAGAGATCCGCAAAACACCATGAAACTCATCTGCTGAGCCCAAGGAGACAGAGTTTATTCCCTGGGAATGGGGCAGTAAGGGTCATTCCAGGGGAATACAGCCAGGGAACAGGACCGAGCCCAGATACCCTGGCTCTGAGCCACGTGCCCTCAAGCCCCCACACTTCTGGCTGTCTGTGAGGTGCCACATCTCCAGGTCACCTCACCAGCAGTGCCTTACAGAGAGGTCACCTCCACCACAGTGTCCCAACACACGTGGCTCCTCTCCTCATTCCCTGCTTTCTCTTCAAAGGCACGTTGGAGCGCAACTTTGACGGAGCGATGGAAGCGGCGCCGCCGGCAGCTCCCCACCAGGACATAAATCACAGGGTTCAGGCAGCAGTCCAGCAATGCCAGCAGCAGAGGGATGTCATTTTCAGGGAATAAATCCCCTGAACTGGGAAGATTGAGGAAAACATCCATGCAGAAAGGAATGCCGAAAGCGAAGAAGACAATGATGTTGAGCAGGATGGCAACATAGAGCCTCCCTGGGTGTCGTCTCTGGGAGCCACAGCAGAGCTTGGTGATCAGGAACAGGTTGGAAACCAACATCAAGACTGACAAAATCATGGAAAACGCCAGGACTACACCTGGAAGCACTTCCCCAGAGTGTTCACTGAAGGTGTAGGTGACATAGAGCAAGGAGACAAAAACCCCGGCGAGGGCCCAGAGTGTCCCGCTCACGATGCCCGACAGGTGCCTGGGGCGGTGGCAGCGGTACCAGATGGGGAAGAGGACGGACACGCAGCGCTCCACACTGAGGGCTGTCAGCAGCCCCAGGCTGCTCAGGTCAAATACGTGGCACAGAAATCCAACTACAAATACAAAATCTGTGTAGAGAGGAGCAAGTTCAATCAAAGAAGTACAAAATGTTACTAAGATAAAAAAAACCACTAGAATCAGGAAAAACATGAGAATGAGGGAGAAGTCAGCAACAGCCAGGTTTAGGATGTAGACAGTGAAAGGGCTCTGCTTCATGTGGAAGCCCAGGAACCACATGACCATCCCATTCCCCACCAACCCACAGAGGGAAATCCCCAGGCAGACACTCCCAAAGACAATCAGTTTGTACGAAACGATTGAGCAAGTATCGTTGATAAATTCCTCAATGTCCAGAGATCCATAAGTCATGTTCAGAGTGAGGTTTCTTGTGTCACTCTCCTCCATGGCGAATGACCCTACTCCAGGTGGCCGCCTTCTCCCTTTCCCACCACCTCCTAGGAGAGACAGGGAACCAGAAGGGAACGAGGGCCATCAGCATTCCCAGCACCCACCACCTGTCCCCATGCTCCCATGTCAGACCCAGGAAGAACCTCATTGCCCTGCTGTGCCCAGGACAGGCTCCCACCCCTCCAGCCCTGTCCCTGGACAGGAGACATCTCCCACCTGTCCATCCCTGCACTCCTACCTCCTGGTGCTCCTGGGAACAGGGCTGTGCCAGGGCTCTGGCACACGGGACCTCCAGGCCTGCCAGGAGAGCAGGTCTGGTGGTGGCTGCTGGAACCACCCGCTGTGCTTCAGCCTCGTCCCTTTTGCCAGGGGTGCAGATCTTCAGCCAGAGATCACATCCCCTGGTCAGGAGCCTCCCCTCACAATCTCTCCACATCGGTGACAGCTTCCCCTCACATGTCCTGTGTGCGGAGATCTTGTCAGTAGGAGTTGGCCATGTCACCTCTTCCTCTCCCCCTGCCATTCTCCATCATGTAAGGGGCTTCTGGCTTTCTCTGTGTGTCTGCTGGTCCATCTGTCAATGCAGCAGGGGATATAAATCACTCTCAGGGATGGAGGGCGAGTGAGATGAGCCAGACACCTTCAAGAGTGAGCAATCACTGATGTGTAGACGTGCAACAGCACAAGGGCTTTGCTCGGTGCCTCTAATGACATGTAACTGGTGCTCAAAACCTCTCCCAGCTTTCTTCTGGGATATGCTTCCAGGACCTGCACCTGTCTGTAGATCTGTCTTCATCCCCCACTCATTCAGGGACTTTCAGCCTATGCCTTGTTTCAAGTCTGCCTCTGGCCCCTACTCTTGCAGCTCCAGGCTGGACACCCTGGAGAGACTGTAGACCTTGGTCATTAACAAGGATGTCCTTGGAGGACATGGGTCTTGGGGATGACATGGCTAGGATATAACTCCAAAGGAGGTAGAAAACACATGGAAGAGGGAGAGAAAATATGCAAAACAATGCACAGTCCCTGTCCTGTGAAAGGTTGAGATTGTGAGGCAGGAACCCCCTGGAGATAAGAGCACGCTGGCAGCACCATGTACCCCACAAAAAGTAATCTCAGAGGAGACACATGTCTGACAGGGGTGTGATTAGAGGCAGTGGGCAAAGCCCTCGTACTGTTCTGTATCTGGGCACTGGTGATTTCTCACAGCAAGTGGAGGCAAGGCCAGTGCTTGGCCCCACAGGCTCATCAGAGGAGAGTTTTGACCCAGGATTCTCAGCACCTGAAAGGACATAATATTATCTATGCTCTCCCCTCCTTCTCCATAGCTTTAAATTCATTTATATGGCATTTATAGGGTCCTAGTGCCTGTATTAATGGGATCATAATAGATCAGCACCTCCTGCTGTAGAATGGAGGGATGGAGAGGAAGGGGGTGATGTGGCCAAGTCCTACTGACAAGATCTCCGCACACAGGACATGTGAGGGGAAGCTGTCACCGATGTGGAGAGATTGTGAGGGGAGGCTCCTGACCAGGGGATGTGATCTCTGGCTGAAGATCTGCACCCCTGGCAAAAGGGACGAGGCTGAAGCACAGCGGGTGGTTCCAGCAGCCACCACCAGACCTGCTCTCCTGGCAGGCCTGGAGGTCCCGTGTGCCAGAGCCCTGGCACAGCCCTGTTCCCAGGAGCACCAGGAGGTAGGAGTGCAGGGATGGACAGGTGGGAGACGACTCCTGTCCAGGGACAGGGCTGGAGGGGTGGGAGCCTGTCCTGGGCACAGCAGGGCAATGAGGTTCTTCCTGGGTCTGACATGGGAGCATGGGGACAGGTGGTGGGTGCTGGGAATGCTGATGGCCCTCGTTCCCTTCTGGTTCCCTGTCTCTCCTAGGAGGTGGTGGGAAAGGGAGAAGGCGGCCACCTGGAGTAGGGTCATTCGCCATGGAGGAGAGTGACACAAGAAACCTCACTCTGAACATGACTTATGGATCTCTGGACATTGAGGAATTTATCAACGATACTTGCTCGATCGTTTCGTACAAACTGATTGTCTTTGGGAGTGTCTGCCTGGGGATTTCCCTCTGTGGGTTGGTGGGGAATGGGATGGTCATGTGGTTCCTGGGCTTCCACATGAAGCAGAGCCCTTTCACTGTCTACATCCTAAACCTGGCTGTTGCTGACTTCTCCCTCATTCTCATGTTTTTCCTGATTCTAGTGGTTTTTTTTATCTTAGTAACATTTTGTACTTCTTTGATTGAACTTGCTCCTCTCTACACAGATTTTGTATTTGTAGTTGGATTTCTGTGCCACGTATTTGACCTGAGCAGCCTGGGGCTGCTGACAGCCCTCAGTGTGGAGCGCTGCGTGTCCGTCCTCTTCCCCATCTGGTACCGCTGCCACCGCCCCAGGCACCTGTCGGGCATCGTGAGCGGGACACTCTGGGCCCTCGCCGGGGTTTTTGTCTCCTTGCTGTACTTCACATTAACCAAAGACTCTGAGGAAGTTCTATCAGATGTAGCCCTGGCGTTTTCCATGATTTTGTCAGTCTTGATGTTGTTTTCCAACCTGTTCCTGATCACCAAGCTCCTCTGTGGCTCCCAGAGACGACACCCAGGGAGGCTCTATGTTGCTGTCCTGATTGAAGTCATTGTCTTCTTCGCTCTCGGCATTCCTTTCTGCCTAGAGATTTTCCTCAATTCTGATGAAATATTCCCTGACAACACCTCTTTGCTGCTGGCATTGCTGGACTGCTGCCTGAACCCTGTGATTTATGTCCTGGTGGGGAGCTGCCGGCGGCGCCGCTTCCATCGCTCCGTCAAAGTTGCGCTCCGACGTGCCTTTGAAGAGAAAGCAGGGAATGAGGAGAGGAGCCACGTGTGTTGGGACACTGTGGTGGAGGTGACCTCTCTGTAAGGCACTGCTGGTGAGGTGACCTGGAGATGTGGCACCTCACAGACAGCCAGAAGTGTGGGGGCTTGAGGGCACGTGGCTCAGAGCCAGGGTATCTGGGCTCGGTCCTGTTCCCTGGCTGTATTCCCCTGGAATGACCCTTACTGCCCCATTCCCAGGGAATAAACTCTGTCTCCTTTGGCTCAGTCGAGTTCTTCCTGTGCATTAAATAAAAAGCTATTTATCTGATCCAGTCCCCATTTTCTCTCTTCATTTTACCCTCTGTTTATTTTAATTACAATTTGCCTTATATTTAGTTCTGTCATTGACAGTAATTCAAGTCTTATTTCCTCCCATACATATTGTGCAATGAGGATTTCTGGTTCTTCTCAGATCCCTCCCTAATGCAAAGCACAGCTATGACGGAAAGACATCCTAAGGAAGCTCCAGAATAGGTATAATGGATAACAAGATGGAGAAAATCATATTGCCAAATATTCATGAGATTCATCAATTAAGAACACAGAACAATAAAACAAAGCAATTAAGTGTGTGCTAATACCAATATAATTACCAGCACAGAAAATATCTATATAACCCAGGAATATCTGTCCGTGAAATAGGATATTTTCTATCCTATTTATCTTCCAAAGTTTCTTTCCATTAGTCATTTCCTCTACTCAGAGAAGACTGGAAGTCAGTGCCCTAAAATTTGGTCTGTGTTCAGAAGAAATTGGACTTTATGGGCTCATTCCTTCTTCATTTTAAGGTGATTTAAAAACAGCTTCTTTGTGAGAGGTCCCAAGAGATCCCAGGGGAAAAAATTCTGAATCACCTGTATGTACATTATGGAAAAATAGCATTAAAAATTAGAGAATAGTAGAAATGGGACTCAAATTTCAGCTTTCAGGAGCTCAAAACAGGAAACAAAAAGCAACTACAGGCATTAGGGTGAATCACTAATTCTTTTAAGTGATGCTTTTCAAATAAATAAAAAGGTAAAGGAACAGAAAAAAAATGTAGAAAATAATAGAAAAAAGAAGCTTTCCTTTAGGAAAACAATTCCAGATAAAGGAGTGAAGGTTTTTCAAAGAAAATTACCTATGTTTCCTTTTCCTAACAATTTTGGTTCAAAGAATAAATGTTAGGTAGTTTTATAGGACAAATAATCCCATCTTGTACCTCAAGGGATTAGGTCTATAGAATAATTTGTTGCAATTCATGTTATTTATTTACCTTTTTCTGTTTCCTGTATTTTTTTCCCTAATCTTGAAATTATTTTTATTGGTAAAGGAGATTTAAAAGCCATGGATTCTTATCTGTCCTTTTCAAGGAAGAAACAACAAGCAATTCACACTTTAGTTAAATGCAGAAAGTCTGTCCAGGGATGGAAGAAATTAAAATAACTTCACTCTTTGACATGCTCACATTAGGAAGCCCAGAATGGCTCTCTGAGCTGCAAAAGTGTGCTCGGATATGGGTATTTAAAATTAAGTAGGATAAATTCCTCCTCCTTGCAGGAGTTTTATGTTTGATTTCAACAGGAGGAAGGTTGTTTCTCATCTCATCTTCAGCGATCCGAGTGAAAAGTGACTGAGAATTCACGCACTTAGGAATGACAGGGATTTATTGAGTGAAGTGCAAATTCTAAGCAAGATTCCTTTGAGGAAATTCAGACACCAAGACATTTCACCTTATCAAATTAATGTTCTTTAATAGTCACTTGTGGTCCAAATACAGTTCAGGAAAATTCTGTGGTCCAGGTCCTTGTGTGATTTCACGGATCACAGACAGAACTCATTTAATCAGCTGAACTATCTACAGTGAGGATACTGAAGGTCAGGTGCAATGAACCTTTCCCAAAACCTTGGAGTTCTTCAACTCTGCCCACTCTTGTCTCCAGACCAGGCTTTTAGGAGGACATAGTTACTGAGTCCCTGGTTTCCTGTTCATCTTTGTCATCCCCTGACTCTTCAAAGGCCCTCTGGAATGCCAGCCCAAGGGTGAGCTTGAATCTCCGATCCCTGTAGCTTCCCACCAGGAAGTAAATGACAGGGTTGAGGGTGCTGTTGACACAGGACAGCACAAAGCCAATCTCTGGGGAGTAGAGAAATTTGTAGCCCAGGAAGTCAAAGAGGATGAGGACGCTGAGGGGTACGGCAAAGATGAGGAAGAGGAGGATGGTGAGCATGATGATGGTGAAGAGCCGGCCCGTCTGGAAGTGCTGGGAGCTGCACTTGACCCTGAGGAAGAGAGTGAGGCTGAAGAGCAGCATGAGGGGTGCGCAGATGAGGAAGTCGAAGGTCCCAATGGTGATGAGCAGGCTCTGGCAGAGCTTGGGAGAGGGGCGGATGGTGCACAGAATGTACCCCAGTGTGTTCAGCAGCAGGGACAGAGCCCAGAGCAGGCCGGAGATGATGGCAGACAAGTGTTTGGGGCGGTGGGCCCGGCACCAGATTGGAGAGAGCACAGACAGGCACCGCTCGATGCTGATGGCTGTCAGTAGGTACAGGCCGGTCCCATACATGGAGAGATCCAGGAAGAGGAATATCCCAAACTGCACCCCCACGTTGAACTGCATCAGGTACTGGACGGTCTCGATGGCGATGCAGAGCAGGTACCCAAAGTCGGCGGCTGCCAGATTCAGGATGTAGACTGTGAAGTGGTTCCTGCGGATGCGGAAGCCCAGGTACCACAGGACCAGGGCGTTCCCCACCATCCCACAGGCAGAGCTGATGAGGCAGAAGCTCTCCATGAACTTCAAGACAGCATAGGATGGCTCCTGTTGCCCCACAGCCCCACTCTGGTTAGTCCCAAGGGCCTGGGTGGTTGTGGCTGGAAGGAAGATTGGTGTGGCTGTGGAACTCATAATGGGTGATTTCAGACACACCTAGAAAAAGAAAGGGCAGAGGTGGTAACTTCAGGGAGACCTAGTGGTGTTCCAGGTTTTGTTCCAGGTCTTTGTAGCTAGAATTTGGACCTTAAAGCTCATCCAGTTCCACCCCCTGCCATGGGCAGGGACACCTTCCACTAGACCAGGTTGCTCCAAGCCCTGTCCAACCTGGCCTTAAACACCTCCAGGACAGGTCTTCCAGACCCCCTCTGAGCAACCTGTGCCAGGGTCTCACCACCCTCACAGGAAGAATTTCTTCCCAATATCCCACCTAAACCCACCCAATGTCAGTTTAAAGCCAAACAGAAGTCAGTGTTAACAACTCGGGGATAATTGTCTCGTGGAGATAGGATTAGGTGGGACAAAGATCTTGTCAGAAGTGTGAAGGCTCCAGGCAGCCAAAATACATGTTTAATTAGTGTAAAAACTGGTTGAGTTCAGTCCTATGTGCATACCCAGAAAACATGGTAGGAAGTACCTGGTCTAGTGGAAGGTGTCCCTGCCCATGGCAGGGGGTTGGAACTGGATGAGCTTTAAGGTCCCTTCCAACCTAAATCACTCTGTGATTCTATGATTCTATGGAAACATTTCATTCTATAAAAAGCTGGTAGTTTTTTTATATTGATGACTGATTTCTATTTTAATTAAGATATTAATTTGCCACTTAATGTGGTTGGTTTGTTCTCTTGGGTCCTATGTACAGACAATAAACATTTTGGTCTGGCACAGTCAGCCCTTTCCTCAGAAACTGTAAGAACCATATGTAAGAAACCACAAAATATCTCATCCTCACAGGACACTGGACTTATGGGTCTGATAATTCACCCCATTCCCTGAGGCAGTTCACTGTTTCCTCCCCCATGTTACTGAGATCTGAATGAGAACCTTGGTAATAAGAAAAAGTAGAAAAATAGGTTCAACACCTTTTTTTTTCTTTTCTCTGATAAGAACACATACTGTGGTTTTTTTGCTCCCTCTCTCTCAGCCAGCTGCTAATTTGGACATGGTAGGCAGAGAAGTGTCATGAGAGATGGGTTAAAAAGAAGAGAAGAACAAGCCAAAACAGAGTTTACTGGGAACCATGTCACTGAACCATCTAACCAGCACGAATCCTCTGTCACATGGATACAGACTTCCAAAAACAAAAAATGTGACAGATTGAATCATTGTTGTTTCATCCTAGCACTCCAGACACAATGACCATAGTTTTGCATGGACAGAGGCAAGAGAAATGCATGATGCAGGGAATTTCAAGGCCAGGTTGGACAGGGCTTGGAGCAACCTGCTCCAGTAGAAGGTGTCCTTGCCCATGGCAGGGTACTGGAATGCAATGATCTTTAAGGTCCCTTCTAACCCAAACCATTCCAGGATTCTATGATTTCCTTCAGGGTTGACTGAAAGCAGGGAACTTCTGCCACTGCACCACACTGTTAGATAATGGTGGATGATCCCATCCTCAGCTCTTACGGGACCTCAGGTCTAACCTCAAGACTTTAGGGCCCAGCCTTGTGGCTGTTCCACCCTCATCTGGGGTGGCCACGAATCATCAGATTTTGGTTCACAGCAGAAATTAGCTGAAGCAGCATCAAACTCTTGGCAGCAACCCTGCTGCAAGGACAGAGGAAGACCCGGTGGTTAAGGTGGTTTCCTGGCCTTTAGAAGACCCAAGGCACTGCTCTCTCTGCCACAAGATATCTGTGCAAATCTGAAGCAAGTTTCCAGTCCATTTGGAGAGGTCATGAACATTTGAGTGCCATTGTATTCCCTTGGAAAGACTGAATTCTTGTCTCCAGGACACATTCCAGACATGAATCTACTTCCTTAATAAAACTAACTAGTGAAAGTTCTGCTCAAACAGCAGCAGTCTGCGTCCAGGTGGTCTTTTTCTCTCTTGGAATTAACCAGGTTTACCTGCAAAACCTGCCTGCAAAACCACTTAGACTAAGGACAAAAAGTTATGCTGCTCTAATGCAGGTCTCTAAATGACATTTATATTACAGAGGTGTATTTAGAGCAAGCCAATAGCACTTGTTCATGGAAAAGCAACCCTGGAATGAAGTTCTTCTTACCTTGAAAATGATCACGACAGTGATCTGACCTACAGTAAATTTCTAACCAGCAGGAGAATATTTGATCTTCTCCTTTCCTCCACTGTTTTTGGTTTTCCCCCCTTCCCCTCACCATTTCCCCAAAAGCCTGGGAGAAAGCATTAGAGTGCAATGGCAAAGATCCATCTAGGAATTTCTCACCTTCTTGTGGGTTCCTTGGAATTTCAGTGATGGCTTTGCAGCAGCTGCCTGGTGTGGATCTGCTGGGCAATATTGTCCCCTGAATTCTGTGGCATAGGGTCCAGACAAGGTCCTTGTGTCAATACTGCAGTGCTGGGCTAATCAGACACTTTAAAAAGCCAGTGTGACACACACCAGCCAATCACTCTTCAGGGGAGAACATCATGTGTGTGTGATAACTGAACCACTTCCCCTTCCCCTCTTCACAGTGTCATGGAAACAATTTTTATTTTACTAATTCTCCTCTTTCTAGCCAGTTTTGTCCATACAAACCCATCCCTTGCCTCTTGCATTGATGTTTCATACCCATGGCCCTGAGATGCTCTGGTTTCACAGCCCCTGAAGATGATGCTTTACTGCTGCTTGGGGTTACACAGAGAAATTTTCATTCTTCTCCCAAAACACCTTTGCTGATGGTTTTGCAACCTCCATCAGCACAGCTGCTCATCCCTATTGTCCCTGCCCAACCATAACACACCCATCACCACACTGTCCTCTCCTGACCCACAGCCTCTCCCAACAAAATTCATCACTGTATTTAGTCCCTATTTTTTCATCTGACCTTCCCTGGAGGAGGATCCACCCAAAATTCACACCTCAGCACCCATAACTTCCCAGCCTTTGCTTGTTCTGCCCCCAGTGAATAATTCTGGTGGCAGGAGCTCTTTCAGTGCAGCTCCACACCCCACCTGCCACTTCAGTCTTTCAGCATAGTCCTTCACCACACCTCGGGCACTTCCGATTTCACAAAATCCCTCAAGAAAGCCTCCAGACTTTCACTTCCAGTTTCACAACTTCCCCCCAAACAGCACCTCAGCCTCAGCCTGCCCATCAAACCCATGGCTCTTCCCCACACAGAATTTACCACATACTCACAATATCCCACTCATCTTCTCACCATGCACACCACACACCCATGAGGACCCCCACCACAGTGCCCAGATCCAAAGGAAGTGCAGTGAAAACAGAGAACACACCTTTCTCCGTTCCTGGCAGCTTGTGTCTTTACAGAGAACTATTTCACAACAGGAGGTACCAGAAACTCTTGATTTTAACTAGTGCATGAATCACTTCTGCTGGTCCATCCGGCCAGGGGAACAAAGGCACACAAAAGTGTGACACCAGCCAAATTATTGCCATTTGTGTCACTGGGTATAGAAATGGGCAGATCCAGCCCAAATTTGCTTAGCACACCAGATACAGATTTGGACATCTTCCTCTTCCTTTCCCAAAGACTGTAAGACTGCTTTAACTTCCTCACCCAATAGTTCTTCCTTGAGTTGTTGCTGGTAGCCCTTATTAACCTGGCCAGGACTCCAGTGGAAAATGCTATTTAAATTAAAAGACTATTTGCACCCAGAGCACTATTTAACCTTCTCATAAATTGGAAGGTTTCTCTTTTCCCTGCCTGGATCACTGGCATTCTGTGTCAGGAGATGGTCACATCACCTTGGCTGTTAATGGGCCATTCTAAACTGCAAGAAATGTCAACAAAACAAAGTCATGGGCGGTGGATGAAACTATTGATTGATGCCCATATATCAGAATTCAAAAATACACAGGAAACTTCAGAGCAGTGATGGGTTTAAGTGATGCTTAAATTCATTGCATCCCGGAATGGTTTGGGTTGGAAGGCACCTCAAAGATCATTGAATTCCAACCCACTCCATCAGCAGGGCCACCGACCACTAGACCAGGTTGCTCCCACCTGGCTTTGAACAATTCCAGGGATGGGGCATCCACAGCTTCTCTGGGCAACCTCTACCAGGGCCTCACCACCCTCACAGCCAACAATTCCTTCCCAATAGCCCATCTAATCCTGCCCTCTGGCACTTGAAAGCCACTCCCCCTAATTGATCAAGTGATCATAGGAAAGCCTGGACTTGCAAAGACTCACCTCAGCTGACTTCCACAGATGCACAAGAGCTGACTTCCTCCCCTCCCTCAGTTTCCCAATTTGTAAAATAAGGGTTTTTCCCTTACTCTGTAATTCCCTGACTTTTGCTGAAACCTGCAAGTTCTTGCAAGAGACTTTATTCACTGGGCTGTCAGTGATGAAATTTCATGTCAAACAGGGACTTGGAGGGTCATCAAGAGGTGACCATCTTCTGTTTCTCTTCAACTTACTACTAGGGATCTCTGATTTTTATTTATTTTCATTTTTTTAATGAAGATTCCTGATTGATGTGTTGCTTTTTTTGTGTGTGTGTTTTTTTTGTTTGTTGTTTTGTTTTGTTTTGTTTTGTTTTAATAAAACCTGATTTAAAAGTCCTGTTTTATTTCTCACAAAACTATAAAGCCAAAGCAGTGGATCCAATGGGCCCCTTGGGACTTGGGAAAACCACAAATCCTATTTTCATGATGGATTCTGGGAATGGTTAACTGGACTAGGTCACATCACATGCTTGTCCAGTTTAATATTCAGCTCATCCATTGCCTGTTAGCTCAAGGAATCCTGGAATCAGTCAGGTTGGAAAAGCCCTCTAAGATCAGCGAGTCCAACAGTTCCCCCAGCGCTGCCAAGGCCCCCACTAAACCACGGCCCCAAGTGCCACATCCACGCAAGTCTGAAACCCCTTCAGCACCCCCGCAGTGAAGAAAGCTTTCCTACTATCTGATGTAAACTTCCCCTCCCAGGACAGGATTAATTTCTCCTCCTTCCCAACTTCCTTTCATTCAGCCTTCACACCTCCCTCCTGCAGCCCCAAGAGCCCTGCAGAGGAGACATTTCCTTGGAGAGGCTGCAGGAGTTCTACAGAAACAGGGAATTAAGCCCTCGAGGTGGGAGATTTCCTTGGAGATGCTTAAGAAGAGCTACTTAAACAATTTGCTTCTCAGCCTTCTCTCTGCTTGCTGGGCTGGGTGTGCAGCCTTCAGTGCCCACCCATCTCCAAGCAGCCTCCAAAGCAGCTCTCGTGGGCAGGAAACATCCAGATACACCTGCTGATACAGGAAAGCAAGACATTCAATTAGGTGGGATTATTGCACCTCCTAAGCAAGCAGTGCAAGCTTCCCAGAGGCTGTTCTCTGTTTCTGAAAGAATGGGCTCTATCTCATTCATCCCAGGAAAGGCAGAGGTTGAGGAGATCAAATCTTACAGCCCTTACACAAACAATTAGATCTTCAAACACAGAGAAGGTAAGTTTTCCACATTCTCTGCATCCTTTCCCTTTTTTCCTTCCTCTTTTCTTTCCTATTTCTGCTTTCCTCTCTTCTCTTTCCCCCCTCATTTTTCAAATGTGAAAATACAAAGAAGAAATTTTCACTGAACCATCTCTGGCTCTCTTTGCCCAGAACCACACCCAGAGCCAGTCCTGCAGTCCCAAATTAAGTTCTTTAATTCTCTTTCCCATTAACCACCTGAGATTTTAGGGGAAAACACTTGCAAGAAGCAGGTGGTGCAAGTTCTCATCCTTTCTTGAAATTAAAACAGTCCACATTGTATTTCTTTCGTATTGCAATTGACTGCATTATATCACATAACTCTAATCTGTCCTTTGAAAGATACTTTTAGAGGGAAGACCTATAAATTTTGCCCCCTTTCTTGAATGCCTTTTACCTCCTGCCAGTACAACTGGAAGCACAGGAAAAGTCCCAAACTTTCCCAACTTCCTCTCTAGGCTTCCCTTTGTGGGCAATTTTGAGAGCAATTTGGGGTTTTCTCCCTTTCCTGTGGATGCTCGAGCAGCTTTTTGCCTGCACAAGGGTTTCTGGTTTTGAAATCCTAAAGCAAAAGCCTGCATCAGATGGACCCAATGCCAGAAGGATTGAGTGGGTGGCACCCCTGCCCATGGCAGGCAGGTTGGAACTAGATGGTCTTGAAGGTCCCTTCCAACCCACTCCAGGATTCTATGGTTCTATGGCTGAAGTCTCATGCAAGGAAAATTAACCATGTAGAGGGGGAGGGAAAGAAAAATCAACAACAGAAATCAAACAAACATAAAAAACCCCAAACCAAACAAACAAAAAAAACCCAAAAAACCCCCATCCTTGATAAACTTAGTTCTAATCCTACACATTTCTTAGTGTGACTGTACTTCTGGTCAAGAATTCATTTTTATTCATTAAAAAACCTGATGAAGCATTTTGCCTTTATTTTTCCACATTCCCAGGCTCTGCATCGAATATCCCCCAACGCCTTAACATGGACAACGCCAGCAGCGTGAAGGAATTCATCCTCCTGGGCCTCTCGGAGAACCAGGGACTGCAGAAAATATATTCCGTGCTCTTTCTGGCTTTCTATCTGATCACTGTGGCAGGAAATCTGCTCATAGTGGTCACTGTCATCAGCAGCCAGGGCCTCAACTCCCCCATGTACTTCTTCCTCTGCTCCCTGTCCTTTGTAGACATCTGCTACTCCTCCACCACGGCTCCCAAAATGATTGCTGGCCTGTTGGGGGGGAGTAAAAGCATCTCCTTCGTGGGCTGCATGGCCCAGCTGTTTGGGTTTCACTTCTTTGGCTGCGCTGAGATCTTCCTCCTCACGGCCATGGCCTACGACCGCTACGTTGCCATCTGCAGGCCCCTCCACTACGCCGCCCTCATGAGCGGCCGCACCTGCGGCCTCATGGTGCTGGGCTCGTGGCTTGGGGCCTTCTTCCACTCCACCCTGCAGCTCCTTCTCACCATTTGCCTCCCGTTCTGCGGCCCAAACAAAATCAATCACTACTTCTGTGATGTCCACCCCCTGCTCCGCCTGGCCTGTGCCGACACCCGTGCCGTGGGCGCTGCCGAGGTGGTCAACGGTGGCTTGATAACTCTGAGCGCTTTTGCCATCCTGGTCTCGTCCTATGTTGTCATCCTGGTTTCCTTGAAAGGTCAGACAGCTGCAGGGTGGCACAAGGCCCTCTCCACCTGCGGCTCCCACATCACCGTGGTGATCCTGTTCTTCGGGCCGTGCACGTTCATCTACATCCGCCCCTCCAGCAACCTGGCGGAGGACAAAGCCGTGGCCGTGTTCTACTCCATCATCACACCCATGCTGAACCCCCTCATCTACACCCTCAGGAACCAGGAAGTGAAGAGTGCCATGAGAAAGCTGTGGAGCAGAAAAGTGGGAAGCCAAAATGCAAAGGTGCAGCACCATAGTCATGTTTCGAAAAGATCGGAGAAAATCGAGCATCTTTGGCTATGATTTCTTTTGTGACAATTCCTCACCACCTGCCCTTTAAAGGACAGCTTGCTGGGAGCTCCTGCTGTAATTAGGAAGGCACTAAAGGTATATTTGCTGAGGGGAAAGACACTGTGAACTCTGTGATGAGCTGGCATTCCCTATCTATTCTTTGTCAACAAGCACAGGTCCAGACCAGGGCCTCTTGAGCACAAACTCAACACCAGTGTTGAAATAAATACTGTCAAAAGGACTGAAAAT